TTTCCTTCNCAGTCTTTTTTAAGCTCTCTGATCAATTTCTTCAGAACCTAGTTAATTTGCATCACATTGGTTAGTCTTAAGTAAGACAGACTAGTACTCAGATAAGAGAAGAGATCTTACTTTCATTTCCAGTTCCACATATTTTCTCAAATTCTCGTGACTTGTGGGGTTACAAACCAATGTACAATTTGAAAGAGCTTTGTCTCTATATTTGTTCTTCTCTTTAACCTCTTTTAAGAGATCATGTACAGCTTTTCTGCTGTCACTCCTTATCATTTTCTTTTAACGTAGTCAAGCTAATTATATGGTAAGACAAAAAGTTAAGCAGTCACTAATGGTACTAGAAAGTAAACTATGAATCTTGGGGGCTTAAGCTTAACAATAGTAATAATACCGTGCCGTTAATTCGTCCGAGAGAATCTATTGCTTCACTGTCCAGCTTTTGGCATTGTGCTTTCTCCTGAGATATCATCATATTTTCTTGTGCCAAGCTTTTACCACTGTTGAACAAGGGTCAAGAGCCTTCTGCAATTCCTCTGCCATCTCGTTGCAGCAGTTTATAAAGTCTGCAGCCGAGTGACAACGATTGGTAGCACGCCTTTTCTCATCATATAATCTCTGCCAATGTGATTGTCCACAAGAAGAAATAAAACATATGAATGAGATAGTGAGCTTTTGGGTGATACGTTTCAGGGATTGATTACATGTTTTAAAAAACTTACTTGTGTTTCTTCGTACTTTCGGCTTGTGTGGAGGTAGTCTTGTTCCATCTTTTTGAGTCGCTTCGCAGCTTCCAACTTGGGGACAATCCATTGCCTCTTTTGGGTTTTTCTTTTTATGGATTGTCCCCAAAAAGCTAATTTGTAAGTGCTATCAACAAAAAGTCTTGATGTTATCTTTAACCTTGCAAGTACTGTGTTCTTTTATAAACGATATAAAACTGAGAATCTGAGCAACAACCAGATTTTTAAATTGAACAACGACAATCTTGCTCCCCATGGAAAGGAAGTCCATTGGTTTATATATTAATAGTTTGATATGCAAGGTTATGCTTGACATTATAGTTTTACTTTCTTTTCTGATAAAGTCTAGTGTTATTATAATATGGCACTGCATGTTTTTTCTCTTTTTATCTTTGTGGATTGGTGATAGTGTATGATTGATTAATCCGCGTAGGAATTTATTTTTGTGTTCTGCTTTAGCATTTTTGTAGGTGTTTGTTAGACACTGACTACGCTCACTATATTAGCTACGTTTTGGTGGATTTGTAGCATTTTTTCTAGAATTTTTAGGCCAAAAGCTGGCTTTGCTAGTTGTGACGTTCTTGGTTTTTAAATTCTGCATTTTTGTAGTAATATGTTACGAAATTACTTGAGATATATTTCGTCAAGCTTAGAGAACAAGGGATAGTGATTGATGTTCTATTGTTCCGTGGATGTTTACCTTCTTGGAAAGAAAAACACTCTTTTTCCCCGTTTTATCTTCGATTAATATGTTTTTGTCACTGAATCATTCATTAGATTAGTATGTTGTTAGTTTAATCTTATTGGCTTGGTCTATCTTCACTAGTTTGGTATTCATACTTTAATCTGTAGCTTAAGGGCTTCTGCAGTTCATTTTGGGAGTTTCAATATTGAGGGATCAAATTCTGGAAATTAAGTTATTATGAAACCTTTTCCTTTAGTATAATCATTTGATGACTAAATAGCTGAAGATTCCCATGTCTTTTTGTATTTGAAGTACCATAAATGCATTGATCAATGATTTTGCTGTGCAATTTTGCTCCTCAGTGAAATTTATGGTGATATGGTTAACCAGGTGGTTCAGTTTACTTTGCTAACTCTGATACTGTGCTTCTCCAAATTCTTTCTTTTCTATTTCAGCTTTGTGCCTTGCTATTAGACTTCCTTAAGCTCTCTGATTAGCTTCTTCACAAGCTAGTTAATTTGCAAACAGCATCCCATTGGTTAGTCTAAAGTAAGATAAACTAGATCTCAAATGAACGAAGGGAAGATTACTTCTATATCCAGTAACACAGATTTTCTCAAAGGATTACAAACCACTGTACAATTTGAAAGAGCTTTGGCTCTACACTTGTTCCACTCTTTTAATCTCTTTTGAGAGAACATGTGCAGCTTTTATGCTGTTACTCCTTGACATTCTTTGAATGTAGCCGACCTAATTATATGGCAAGACAAAAATGTTAAGAGGCCACTTATTGGTATTAATAAGTAGACTATGAATCTTTGGGGTTTCAGCTTAGCAATTGTAGTAATACATCGCGGTTAATTTCTCTCAAGTAACGTATTTGCTTCCTGATCCAACTTCCTGCTGAAAAACCGTTGTAATTTTAAAGGTATGTTATATATGATATATTTTTGTGTATATCGAGCTGGTTCTCGTATTTATAAGATGATAATGATATTATGTTTGTTTGGAATAACATTACATGACCAATGGTTTCTGAAAGATCAGTACTACATAGATTTTCTGGAGTCACTCAGCTTAGGCGGGAAAACAAGCATAGTTGACTTATGCGACTGATTATGTGGCACTTTGGACCAATCAACAAGCAAGTGGAAGCAGCTTGTAGCAGAGTTGGTCTGGATATCAGGAGCAGATGGGATTTCTGACAAGGAGCATTCTGAAGAAGCAGAAAATCTTCTACAAGGTTACTGCAACTATTCAGCGGACAATAAGGGTTGTCCTAGTACTATTGCAGTTGAAGTTCTGCTTACATAAACACAAAGTAGGACTTTTGTAAAGGCAGTTCTTTTGCAGAAAAATAAGCAGAGAACTCAAAGAGTGTTTACTTTGGTGAGTGAACAAAAAGGGAAATCAGTTGAGGCTGATTGTGTAAAG